CGCAACTCACGTTTAAAGAGCCGCAGGTTGCCGACCACCCCAGATCCAGGATGAGCCTTTTAACTTGTTATTAATTTTAAATTTTCTCTTGACAATAATTAATTCAAAATGACACAAAAAACCCCATAATTTATTAATTACGCGAATTAATAAGTTGAATCAAGTAAAAAAACATACATTTGTTTGTTTGTTCATTTTGTTTAATAATCGCATGCGCTATTTATATATATATATTATATATATATATGTATATATATAAACATTGTTTATAGTTTGTTTTTTAAAAATACAAAAAAGAAAAAGCAAAACAAAAATAATAATAATAATAAACATACTAATGGGATTATCAAACATACATGTTTTCAAACCTCTCGCATGATGCGCATGTATTATTATCATCATCATCATCATCATCATCATCATCATCATCATCATCATCATCTCTTTCATTTTTTTTAGCTATGAGAAATAATAGCAGAATATATATTTATGTAATATTTAATAAGAATATATAATAATGATGGGGCCCACATGCATTTTTTCAGCTACATCAATAAGTGTTTAATTTTTTTTTTTAGTTTTATTTTTATTTTATTTTATTTTACTTTTATTTTATTATAGTATATCGTGTTCGCTATTTATATTTTATTATAATATCTCAATATTGCATATGTAAAAGCAAAAAAAAAAAAACTATGACATAAGAAAACTTAAAATTTACGAATTGGAACAATTCAAAGTTTGTTCTCTCTCTCTGTTGGTTGTCCATTATTATTATTATTATTTATTTATTTAAATTATAATAATTAGCAAACAAAAAAAAAACATTGCAACTCTATTCAATACAATGACTACAGCAAAATTAAGAGAAAATAAGAAAATAGAGAAACATTCAAATTATTTATCAATGTTCGTTTTCATAATTAATGTTCATTGTATAGTTTTTTTTTTTTTTTTTTTTATATTTATTTATTTATATAATACGCGAAAAAAAAAAACAACAACAAAAAATTAGGATAAGTAAATATAATTTCATTGATTTTCTTTTTCTTTTTTTTTTTATATAATATTTTTTCTTTTTTTAGGGAGGGAATAATAATTTAATAATAATAATAATAATAATAATAATAATAATATATAATGTAAATAAAAATTAAATGATTTCTCATTTTATATGTTTTTTTTTTTGCATATTTTTTTTTTATCTTCTTCTTTTATATATTTCAACGACGTTATCATCTAAAGATTCTACTAATCTTGAGTATAAATAAAAAGTAGAAATAAAAAATATAAATAGAAAAACAAAATGGAGGAAAAAAAAAATATATCGTATTTTTTAATTAAGGGTGGTGGGGGGNGCATTAATTATAAGTGATATAAGAATTAAGCTAAATTCTGTGAAGAAATTCCTACATGGCTGCCTCTCATATATCATAATAATAATAATAATAATAATAATAATTATATTATAAGAATAATAAGAATAATAATAATTATAATAATAATATTAATAATAATAATAATAATAATCTGCGCTAGAAAAAGAAAGAAAAAAAAAAAAAAAGGAGATAGAGAAAAAGTAGCAAAACGTGCACAGACAAGAAGAGAGTTAAATAAGTGTACCTTTACACACAAAAAAAAAAAAAAAAAAAAAAAAAGTACAGCCATTAAAAAATACGAGTGTCTTATTTTAATAATGCGTCTGAATTGTTCTCAATATTAATTGCAGATAATTGCAGATAATTGCAGACATTAATTCGCATAATTCATCAACCATCGACCAACCATTTCTCACAAAGCATTTGTTGTTTGTCACTCTTATAGCAGAGATACTAAGTTAATTAATTAATTAATTATTATTTACTTCTTTGCGTATAATTTGATTAAATTTTTCTTCTGTTATTTATTACAACAATACACAATGGTTCAAAGGTCATAATTTTTTTTTTTTTTTTTTTTTATAGATGATGGCTCGTTTATTTAACTTCTTTCATCATTTTTAAATATAATAATAATTAGAGATTAATTCGTATGTGGTTACTTTTTTTTCATTTTTTTTTTTTCTTTTCATTTAATACAAATGGTATGTTTGCAAGTTTTTTTTTTTTTCTTTTTTATCATAGACGACATGTTTTTTTATATTTTTATTTTATTATTTATTTATTTATTTTTTTTTTGTTCACTGTGGGCCCCCCCGTGTGTTTTTTTTTTCTTTTTTCTTCTTCCTCTTTTTTTCTTGTTTCCTTACTACTCTTTATATTTTTCATGTTTACAACGAAAGAAAAAAAAAAAAAAGATCAGGCACGCAATTATTATTATTAAATCATCACGCCCCTGGCTTTTTTTTTTTTTTTTTTTTTTTTTTTTAAAAACGTTGATATATGCTTTTTTTTCTTCTTTTTTTCTTTTTATTATTATTAATATGCAAGTTTCTTGATTCTTTTCTTTTCCTTCTCTTTTGTTCTTTTCATTTTTCTTTTCTTTTCTTTTCTTTCTCGACATTTCTATTCTGTTGCATTTTTTCTTTTTCTTTTTTTGTTGTTGTTGTTGTTCAATATTATGGATTCTCTTTTTTGTCCGCATATTTTTATATATTGAAATTATTTCACGTTATTTTATTTATTTATTTATTTATTTATTTATTGCATACTCTTCATATCATCAGTGCAGCAGCAACTGATTTTATTTTGTGTTACAATTCCTCACATATATTGTGTCATATTTTTTTGTTTTTTTTTGGTAAACATTTTGTTAATAATCTGGTGTTGTATCAAGAGAGATTGATTTCTTTAAAAAAAGAATATCATCTATTATTATTATTATATCTTTACGTAAAAAGCGTAAAGTGTGTGTGTGTTGTGGCATTTTATTTACTCTCAAATTGGTTTTATATTTTGTTTTGTTTTGTTTTGTTTTGTCAGATCAGAAGGGTCATTGCTTCTAGTA